CTATATTATGTTATACCTAATCGTTAATTATTATTTTCTAAAATGTAATTATTTATTGTACTTTGCAACCCTACAAAATCGTTATTCTTGTAGTACCCGCTGCATTCGCGGTATTAAAAAATATTTTTGTAAATGAATGCAGTTTTGGTTCATAAAGAAATTGCTTTTCAATATTATAGTAACAGCTAACTGTAGGTATTGTAAAAATGTGTGATAGCAAAGGCTTGGTATCATACTATTTATTTAATTAATGGTGAAAATACGTTTATTATAATAAACTGATTCAAATATTGCTTTATCGTTTATTGTTTGTGGTGGATGATGTGTGTGTATCACGCAAAATGTACTAGATAGATTTTGATCAGTTTTTTTTAGTTTTAGTCCTCATACCCTTGGTGTTTATCTTCGACAAACATTCTCAGGATATTTTTATTTATTGTTAGGTTGTAGTTTTTATCAAGTAGTTACGAATAAAATTATGACTGTAAAATTAAAACAGTATTTTCACTAGAAAAGTCAAGTGACAAAGTCAATGTTATATAGTTTATTTTATATATGTTTATAGGTATTTTCTATCTATTTCGTTTTTAATAGCTTTCGCATTTAAAAAAGAGGATGCAAATAGACGATAGTTTTTACGATATTTATTTAAGTGACTGGGACTTCACTAGACAGTCTATAGGTGTGAATTTCGGAACTCTATCTCCCTACACTACAACCGAAGCAGATTTAATAAAAAAATTGACAAAGGCAAAACGTGGACGCTTTATTACTCAGATGTATGCAGGAGTTTGTGGTAAGTAAATGCATTTAAAAGTTACAGAATAATTTTAAATTAATATAAAAGATTCAAACGATAAGTACGAAAAATTGGCTCCGCAGATCTTATTCGTTTTTTTGGAATAAATAGGTACACTAACAAAATAACTAATATTTGGAAAATTTGTGCATTCTAAGGAAAAAAGAAAATTCGATTTATCAAAATATTTTTTATTGAATGCCATTTTACATAAGAATATGAATGTAATTCTTCTGCTAGAAAACTAGTATGTATTTCTATTTTGATTTTTAATTTACTATTGAATTTTTAGCAGCAATTGGCACATATTCATTCGGTATGGTGGTAGGCTGGTCAAGTCCAATAACTTACGAAATGCTATTGACAAGTTCGGAAGGAGAAAATGCAACCAGTATAGAAAATATTGAAGACGACCATTATGCGTGGATAATTAGTATAACCGCACTTGGCTGCTGCATGGGTATTTTCCCTGCGTTCCTCCTATTAGAACAAATCGGTCCGAGATTATATATGATTTTGGCAAATTTTTTACTAATCATATTATGGGGTGTAATGGCAATTGTAACAACTTATAGTATATTTATGGTGGTCCGTTTGATGACCGGTTTTGCTGCGGTTTCGTTTTTAATTTGCGGAGAGACAATTCTCACCGATTGTACTACAAAATATTACATGCGTTACACGATGATGATGTTTAATTCGAGTATGGTATTGGGAATTGTAATTACGTACGTAATGGGAGGATTGTGGGGAAAAAGTAAGACGTGCACTATATGTTGCAGTGTATGTGCATTTCACATTTTATTGTTATACTTTGCAAAAGACAGTCCCGTCATATTGTATGCGAGGAACCCAGTAGAAGCGATAAAAGCTCTGGCCTGGTATTTGGGCAAAACTAATATACAGCTAAAAGTGAAGCAAATCAAAAAACAACACGAAAGGCGAAGACTTGAATCATCTTCTGATCTGTACAAGAAATACTTGTTAAGTTCCAAAGCAGTTTTGAAAGGAACATTAACAGTTTTTGGGTTAATATTTTTTGAAGTATCTTCCGGTTATTACGCATTGCTTTTCTATAATGTGTCTCTCTTTCGAGAGTTTCAGCACAAGGATTCACAATATAAAGTGTTAGGTTCTATTTATTTTGGAGTTTGTTTATGGATTGTAACGGTAATTAGCAGTTACATACATTATCCGATACCTTGTGGTGTTAAGAAACCTCTAATGATAAGTTCCATTTTGATCACGTTTAATTTGGCTGCTTCCGCTTTATACCTAACGTTTATGGAGCCGAGTATAGATAGTCGTACGCATTTAATGGTACCTGTGATACTTTTTGGAACATTTATAATTTGCTTTGAAGCCGGCCTAAGTTTTTACCCTAAAGTTTTTTTAAAAGATGTATTACCTGATCAAGTTTATCCATTGATCAGATCATTGATTACATTTTTTCATTGGCTGATGATATTTTTTATGTTGCGCTTTTTCTTTCCAGTAGGCCGNATATAATTTATAATGTAATCAATTGTAAAGGTATTTTGACGTAAGCTAAAATAATATCATTAATTATTTAGCCAAAACGTCCTTAAAATATTAGACAATATATAAACTTGATTTTAGTATAATCAGGTTTACAATAAGATTGAAATTATCGTTTTTTTACTTCTACCTCTTTAGATATAAGAATTTTTGTGTTAAAGTAACTCTTTTTTTTAAGGAATGCCGTCCCTTCAACCTTCTATGGGACCAAGCTTGCCAGCTGTTGTAAAAGATTCCCCACTTCTTATGCAGGAAATAGATAACTTACGGAAATTGTTCCATAACGAACGGAACCAGCGTTTGAAATTACAAAGCGAAAAAATGCTGGAACAATTTAAAAGTCTCGCACCTCTTCCTACATTTGAAGACAAAAAGGATGAAATTCTAGAGACACTGTATAAGGATAAATTTCATAAACATGATAAGCAAATAAATGAAGTCCTACAGAGGAATTTTAGAAGTATGTATAGCTAAAAGTTATATGACACTCTGTACACAAGTGTTTGTTGTGCGGTATCTGCGTACCTACAGCTGCTATTATCTATGTACAGCTGTCTGTAAGTTATCAGTGTATCTATCAGTGATGTCAGTCCATAGATATGTCATGGATATTGGATATGTCAGTCTTTTAGGTTATGAATGTAGTTATTGTTTTATATTTGAGTCAGAATTAGAAAAACAACTTTTAGTAGGTCTTATTTAATTTAATTATAATAAGATATTATATTTTAAGTACACTGCGTATATTTAGTGTCAATTGTATGAAGCAAACTTGGTTTAAAAATGTCGGAATTGTTAAAAATTGGACGGCGAGTTGAAGTTACAGGAAAAGATGTACGAGGAACAGTTGCTTTTTGTGGAAGTACTAATTTTGCAACTGGAAAATGGATTGGTCTTATTTTAGATGAAGCTAAAGGAAAAAATAATGGAACCATCAAAGGACACACTTATTTTCAGGTCAATCAAAATTTATCAGTGCGTTCTTAGAACATTCACAGAAAAAGTCGTGTATTTCCTTCAGTAATTTAGAATTTTCATATCGTTTTGTCTAATACAAGCTCAAATAAATAAAATATTTATTTGTAGTGTGAAGAAAATTTCGGGATGTTTGTTCGAGCTTCTCAGGTTGTTCCATTGGATGATCAGGGTAAACCTATTGAAGCAAAAGACACAAGCAGAGATGAGGGCTCCACATCTAGACTCAGAACGCGTCACAGCACGTAAGGGCATTTGTCTTATTTTAAATTCACTTTACTTATAACTAAATTCTTTTTGTAACTTTTGTCATGAATCCTGAAGTATTGGACAAAAACCCAAGCCAACAACGTAAGTTTAAAATTGTGTAAGAACAGTTGCACATAAATATCTATATTAATAGTCTAAACAACATTAAACGATTTATTTATTTTTTTTATCCTTTCAATGCATTCACAATGGACAGAATACGTCGTAAAACGTCTCCCCAAAAAAACACTCCAACACTTTCTGCCTCAAGGTATATTCTTTTTTATAAATCTGTTTATGTGATTAATTTCATTTATGTTTGTATATAGTTTGCGCTTATGGGTTTTGTGCTAAAAATTAATTAAAAGTATACTTAAGGAATTATTAGAGGAAAGAATATAAAAGCTTGTAAAAGGCGTTCAACTAAACATGTAATGTAACTACTATGTGTTTAAAGAGTATAATCTTAATGTGTGTATACATGACAAATGTTTAATAACGGTGATACAACGTTTTCCCTTTTTTCGCTTTAGCTCTCTTTTTTATCAGTTATGTCAAAATGAAAGAAGCCTTTTTTAAACTGAATTATCTCCTTTTATTATTTGTTTTCTCTTGTCACCTCTTTCCTTAAGAAAAAAAGGGGAATTGCATCCTTAACATATAACACAGGTGTTTTACATAAAAGTGAATAATGTTCTATTCAAAGTAATATTAAAATTAAATAAAGCAATTTTACTTTGCATTTTATTATTGATTATGTAAGTGATAAAGTGCAATGTAATAAAAACATATAAAAACACTGTATCAATGTCTGTGTTATCAAAGGGCTTTAGGTAGAAAATTTCTCTGATGTAATATTAATTTCTGTTTTTAAATGTTGATTTTTACGGGAATGTTTATTTATTTGTTTATTCTGCATTTACTATACAGTTATTAATTTTGTCTTTGATCCAATATAATATTAATTGTAATATGTAATTGAATTACAGAAAGTTAAATAGTTTTTGGTCGTAGATTTTTAATTAATTGTCAATGAAGAATTATTATGTTACACATTTCAAATAAAACAGGAATTTTAACTTCTTTGTAACATTTTAAAACTATTATTAATATAGTTGATTATACCATATACATATTTCGTTATAGTTCACGAATATCTCTGGCTGGTAGTCGTCAGTCTTTAGCCAGTAGCAGACAATCTTTGTCAGAAAGTAGAACATCTCTTATCGATAACAGGAGTCATTTAACTTCACCCGTTGTTGAAAAGTCCGAGTCGGAATTCGTCAGCCAAATACCTAAAAGAGCATCCTTTGTTGAAGTAAGTTAATTTATTTTTCACATCTCACATCCTTAACTTCTTGTAGAAAAGTTATCAAATCTAGGTCTAACTCTGCCCCCCTTTGCTCCTGTTTCTGCCTCTTGTATGTCTCTAGCTAACTCTTCATATCTTGAAATGTGTCCTACCATCTTTTTTCTCTGTTTCCTTACTAACTTCTAAGGCCCCTATTATTCTACTAGTCTTTTCAATATCATCTTTAGAATAGGTCAAAGTAAAACAATACACTTTTCCTTGTTTTAAGATTTAATATATTAAATTGAGCGTATTAATTTCTCAAGACAGTACTCTGTATAATATAACTATCAAATTTTGGTACCTACAAAAAAAGCCAAGAAAGTTTCGCGCAGTATTTGTTTTATTAAAAATATTACTTTGTAATTGAATTTCTTATAGTATTGTTCAAATTGTGTTGAAAATAACTTTTTGTATTATTTTTTAATCGATTCGACCACAAAAAATGAGGAGTTCTCATTACTATTTTTTTCCATGACTTTTTCTCAGTTAGATAATATTAGTACGTCTCTTGACATTCATTTAAAAGCAATGTTTTATTCCGAGTTGTAATGTTTTTCGAGTTATCGTTTAAATTTGATACGAGTATTCTTTTAGATCTTTTTATTTTGACGATATGGTACGTAAGTGTTCTTTTATTGAACTTAGGTCAATTATGGCATACATTAGTCTTATTAAATTAAAATTTTGAATCATTCAGGTTACTGCTATGTGTGTTTGTTCACGATTATTTGCGACATGTCTGGGACTTTTCAAAAGATTCGGTAAGATTTTTTATGACTTAAGCACACAATGTTTTTAATTTGTTGAAATGTTATTATACTTCCATTTATTATGGAAATTTTACAAAAATAGTTGTGCCGTTTTTATATTTTTTTTAAGACAAAGGCTTTTTAAATTTGGTTTTATTTTTTAGACTGGATTCGTAGAAACATTGAAACCTCAGTTCACTCCAGGTCAGGCTATGAATCCTACCTCAACTCCCACATCTTCAGTTGAAGAAAAGCTGACACATTTGCAATACCAACAAGAATTGGACAATCGAGATCAACAAATAAAGGACCTTTCAGAAAAATTAGAGACACTAAAAATAAAAAGACTGGAGGATAAAGAGAAATTAAAAGACTATGATAAACTTAAGATTCAGGTATGATTTCAAATTTTGGAAGAATGGTTATGCTTGAATTTATGTTTACAGCTAGAGCAATTGCTGGAATTTAAAGCAAAAATTATGGAGTCTCAGGCAAGTTTACAGAGAGATTTGCAGAAAGCTAGACAGGAAGCAAAGGATGCCATTGAAGCTAAAGAAAGGCATGCAGAAGAAATGGCTGATCTTGCAGAAACCGTTGAAATGGCAACTTTGGACAAAGAAATGGCCGAAGAAAAGGCCGAAACGTTACAACTAGAGTTGGAAGTAACAAAAGAAAGATTGGAAGAAGTGACTTTGGATTTGGAACTTTTGAAAGCTGAAATGCAAGGAAAACCAGGTTGGCCATTTACTTAATTTAATTGTTGTTAGCTACTTCTTTGTTTTGGTTCATTTTTAGGAGATCAACAGGAAGGAAATGTTTCCTCGTACGAATTGAAACAATTGGAACAGCAAAACGCAAGATTGAGGGAAACTTTAGTGAGAATGCGTGACTTGACTGCTCATGACAAGCACGAATTCCAGAAACTGATGAAGGATATGGACCAGAAAAAATCTGAGATTGCTGAATTAAGTAGAACCAAAGAGAAATTAAGTACTAGGGTTGAAGAACTCGAGCAACAAGTAGCTGATCTGCAGGAACAGGTACACTGTTATCTTTAGCAACATTTGGTTTCAAATGCAATGGTGTAATTTCTAAAAAAATGTATTTGTTGCAAGGTCGACGCTGCTTTAGGTGCAGAAGAAATGGTTGTGATATTAGGGGAGCAAAAACTGACCTTGGAAGAAAAAGTGGCTCAGCTAAGGGAAGAAGTTGCAGATTTAGAAGCCCTTCAGGATATGAACGATCAGCTTGTTGAAAGCAATGCAGAATTAGAGGCTGATTTGAGGGAAGAACTTGATATGGCTAATGCTGCTATTAGAGAAGTAAATTTTGCTATTTATCTAATTGTTTGCCTTTTCCAAATCAAACTGTAAGATTCAGTGAATTTTCTGTACTACTTTCAAAATTCTGTATTTTTTGTAGGCTCTTCGTGATAGAGATGCTGCTTTGGAGACAATAGCGGATAGAGAGAGTACTATAAGCAAATTTAGAGAATTGGTACAAAAATTGCAAGAACAGTCGTTGGATTTGCAACATCGTCTTGAGACAGAAACAAGCAAACCCGTGTCGAAATTACCGGAAATAATGGACTTCAAGAAGATGTTCAGTGAAACAAAGGCCCATATCAAAGCTATCGACTTGGAACTGCGCAGAATTGACATCCATCAGTTGCAGCAGCACATCAAGTATTTGTCGTCGTTTATGCCAGATACATTTATGAATCGTGGAGGTGAGCTACCTTCAAATTATTTCAACTGCTTTGTACTGAGTGTTTATTAATATTGAGTACAAAACAATAAAAAAAATACATTTTTTGAAAGTCAATAATTTTAAGGTATTCTAGACAAAGTATGTGATCAACAAATTTGTTTGTTTCAGGCGATCACGATGCAATTTTGGTTTTATTATTAATCCCTAGATTAATACATAAATCCGAAATTTTGCTTAGTCAAATAAAGGACAAATTTCCTACAGTTGACAAGGTTGACCGAAATACTATTATTCAGGGACATGCTGTCGAACAATATGCATTTAGATGTCGTTTGTCGTTTTATATTTATGCCCTACAGGTAAGGCTTCCTTTAAAACAATCGTTATTTGATACCTAATGTATTTTTTATAAATCGTGCTGGTTTTACTAAAAAATTATTGAACTATAATGTTTGTAAGACAGTCTTTAAATTTTATTTATTTATTTATTTTTTCTAGTAGAACATGTACAAATAAATAAATTGCTTCAGTACATTTCAACAATAATCCAATTATTTTGTTTCATATTCATTCTAAAGTACTTACATTATGATAAGTTATATCATAGATTAAAATTAGTAAGTATTGTTTGTTTGTTCACCATCCTTTCCCTTTAAGACTTCATAAGACTCTTATAACCCATTATTTTGTTTATTTTCATAATAAATGTAAAAGTAAAATATTGTCAAGAACGATGGAATATAGGTGTTATTAATGGTTAATTGAGCAACTCATTAATTTTGGCTCCCATGTAATACATTATATTATGCATCCTAATGTTGAATAGACTTTTTTATCATTTTTCTATTGCTTTATAATTACAAGTAGTGATTTTTTTTAGACAATTCTACATCAATACCTTCATTCTCTCAACACTTGTACTCCTGAGTCGCTTCTGAAAGTAGGCTCTTCTTATCCCGAAATGGCTGCACAGGAGAAAGTAGTCGATGGTTTCGTCGAACTGGTCAAACGTGACCAGCTTGACGAAAACATCCCTACGGAAGCTCTTGAAAAGTGCGTTTCTTATTTCAATACTATGTATCCCGTTTTGTTTATACCAGAAACGAAGCACAATCATAATTTGTTGTTAAATGATTACGTAAAACTGTTGGTCAGCGCCTGTGATGGTTTCAATAACGATGCTGTAATTGTCAGAAGTTTAATGGAGGTAAGAAGATCAAAAAGAAAGATCATATTTGCAAATTCTGATAGCATACATAAGCTACGTATTATTTTTTACAAATAATAGGAAATTAGACCATTAAAAAAATAAAATAAAAAATTGGTTCAAATATTTATATTTAAAACATAAATAAAATTGTATAAGAAAACATAAAATTTGAATAGATCCTTAATGATGCAATGTTCTTGATTTGTTTCTCTAGGGAGCTAATATAGGAGATGTAGGACTTCTGTTGCAATACATCATCACTACAGCTGATCAATTGCAGCAACAATTAAAACAGATAAAGAGGCGACTTCCCCCAGATAGCAACATTACCAATTTAGGCTTGAGCAGAGACATAATTGAAAATTTACAAACTTGTTTCTATCAATCCGGAAAAGTAGGAAAATTCCTCCAGGACATCGTGAAAAACGCTATTCAAACTATTAGTAGTAGTGGAGGTAAATTAAAACATAAAAATAACAATCCCCAAAGCTTCATAACTATTGCATTTACAGAAATGCATGTACTTATTAATTAATAGAATTTGATTTACTGTATATACCTATTATTATATATTTTTTTCAGATTCGGATAAGAGTCTATCTCAGGATAAAATAAAAGAATTTGCCAGTAATGCCAGTGATAAAATTTACGAACAAGATGATCTGGGACCTGTTCAAAGCATCAAACAATCTCTGAGCTTTATTATTACACACGTAACACAAGTGGTTCAATTCCTTCAAGATAATGAGTACGACATTGCTGTTACCAAGAAAGAAGAAAAGGTCAGTGGACTGTATTTGTTTATTATTTATTTATGTTAATGTTTTTGCAGCCAACACCACCTATTCACATCCGTGCACACACTGTTAAAAAGGAATTAGAAGAAACAAAAACACTGACGCACAAATTGGAGAACAAAGAATCAGATATCAAGGAATTGAGAAAGGTTTTGAAGGAGAAACAAGAACAACTGTCAGAGATGACGATTAGGAAAGAGTTGGCCGAAAAGAAGTTGGGCAATGTAAACAAGGATTACGAGATGACCATCGAAAAATTGCAACGTAAACTCGAGGAGGCGCACAATAATTTCAAGAAGAAGGAGAAAGAGTTCGAAGAGACTCTTGATCATCTTCAGAGCGACATCGACTCTTTGGAAAGCGAAAAGGGAGAAATGAAGGAGAAATTGAAGTTGTACTCGAAGAAGACTGTCCACTTGGAAGGGTCAAAATCAGGTAAAATTGGAATATTTTTTAAATTACCAATTTGTTAGTCTTTAAACAAATGAGCTTCTTTTGAAAATGGTACCAATGATAGCAAAATTATAAAATATGTGTCTGACAATGTTTTTAATTAACTGATCTAAAAATTATATATTGTTATAATATCTATATAATTTATAATGTAATCAATTGTAAAGGTATTTTGACGTAAGCTAAAATAATATCATTAATTATTTAGCCAAAACGTCCTTAAAATATTAGACAATATATAAACTTGATTTTAGTATAATCAGGTTTACAATAAGATTGAAATTATCGTCTTTTTACTTCTACCTCTTTAGATATAAGAATTTTTGTGTTAAAGTAACTCTTTTTTTTAAGGAATGCCGTCCCTTCAACCTTCTATGGGACCAAGCTTGCCAGCTGTTGTAAAAGATTCCCCACTTCTTATGCAGGAAATAGATAACTTACGGAAATTGTTCCATAACGAACGGAACCAGCGTTTGAAATTACAAAGCGAAAAAATGCTGGAACAATTTAAAAGTCTCGCACCTCTTCCTACATTTGAAGACAAAAAGGATGAAATTCTAGAGACACTGTATAAGGAAGGTTCCGATCTAAAACAGGTAATTATTATGTATAAAGTAATTGTAATTTTTAATTTTATTTTAAAAGTTGTAAGAGTGTTTTATTCTGTAGTGAATCACCTAATTGTTTTTGTTTGGTTTTAGGAAATACTTTTAACGTTAGCAACACCAAGATTTCCGAGCATTTACAAAGCCAAGAATGGCAATGGCCCAGCTCTTTGGAAAAAACATCTTATTGAAGAGACTGACAGGCTTTTGGATTTGAGGCGGAGATCGGAAGAATTCCAAACAAGGGTGGCTGCTGAAGTTGTTAAAAGGAAACATGGAGGACAGATTGAAACTGATTTGACCATTTTTCCAACTGCAGAGATGACAAAGGTAAATAAAAACTTCATTCATATTAAATTTACAATGCATGAAGTTCACAATGCCGCCAGTTCGAAGTTTTACATTTCAACTTGCTTCCTACCTTTTAAAAATTGGTGGCTTCTAGTTTTTCAACTCCTATTTTTATGTTAGCCCTAAACATACTTTGATGTACTAATGTTGGTACTTCTTTATGTCTATTTCTAACGCTGACCTCTCTGTAATAACATTAGAAAATTCGTTTTTTACTTATTTATTTAATTTTTTTGCAGGCCTTTAAAGAAAGAAAACCAGTAAAGGTGGGTTCTGTTACAATTCCACGATCTTGTTTACCAGTTAAAGAAGATCCTAAATTAATCGATTTGGAAGTTGATTTTAATAATTTACAGAATATTTCTATTTTGATTTTTAATTT